GACACCACAGACTCTCAGTCTCTTAGCATTATGAGCGAGAAACACTGCGTAGGAAAACAAGGTGTAAATTTCAGTCTGAAATTAGAGGTATTAATATAGTAGCCGTGAAACACTCAAACATTTACAATAATAGTTTAAGCTTGTTCAAGAATCTTTGGCAAAAAAGCAAACTAGCACTTCATGTTTCTCCTCTCACCAATAGACTTAGTCTGAAGAATGCCAGCTTGTGTTTTTTTGTGAAGTGGTCCAACAATTTCAAAACAGATGGCAAAAGTCAATCTTTGTACTTGAAACATTGCTTTGCTTAGCTTAGTATGTGACTGTGATCAGAGCAGGCATTGCTTGTAAGAAATAGTTTGATTGATATTGCTCGGTATGTTTTGCGCAAATGTTGTTATATTTTCTAAATTATTTTTTGCTTGAAGCTGTTGGTAAAATTATCTCTGATTTATCATTCCTGATCTACAGTTTGTTTGCCGTTTGCTGTGTTGCTTAGCTATAAAACAAGTGTTATTTTTGAGTCTTAGTTGGCCTTTTGTTAATAACCATCAGAACTGGATAGAGTTCAAATGCCCCTTTAAAAAGCTTTAGGAACATAGTCCCATCAAAGCTTGGCTTTTTGTGAGCACCCACGGTGCTGTGGCAGAGCCAGAAGTCCGGAGTGCAGCCGGGGAATGGAAGTGCCGCTCAGCAGCACTGGGCTGGCCACGAGGCTGCAGGTGGCTTCTTGGCGAGAGCGATGCTGTGTCCTGCAGGAGCACCTGATGAAGAGCCATGCAGAATGCATGCAGAAGAGCCATGCGAGTCCTCAGGCTGATGTCCAGAGTGATGCTCCAAGTCACACTAGGGTCTATAAATGCTGATAGGCTTGGATGGGGCTGCCACGGAAGAGAGTTTTGAGAAAGGTTGGATATCTGGGCAGTCTCAGATGTTCTTGACCATATTAGATGGCAGGGGCTGCATATGGAGAAAATTAGATGAGACAGTTTTTCAGCAGCCAGATTTTACTGTGTGACAGCTGTGTTTGTTAAATATTTCAGATAAGAATTTCCATGGTGATCTAGAAGTGAAATGAAAAAGAGAGCTTTTTAACTTAGATTTAAATTATTAATTTCATTATGAAAATCAGAGGTGTAAGACTGTAGATACAAGGCCAGTAATGCTGGAACTGATTTAAATTGCGGTTCAGTTGTATAGGAAGTTCAACTCTGTGACTCCTACAGGTGATTTAAAATGTGTCACTGCATGACCTAGAGCTTTGATCTGGCATAAATTTTCTCTGCTAGTTCAGTGTTTATGACTGTAGTAGTTATATCAAGAATTGCCTATAGTGCTACAGTTCTTTTGTACAAGAACAGGAATCACCTGTCCTCTGCTAGCCAGCATACACTGGCTTTGAGATGTCATGCCAGCTCTAAATTCTGCAGTATATACTCTTACTATTTTAATTATATCAAAATATGTTCTGTGTATTACTTGAAATAGATCATATTTATACTCCTGCTTGATGCAGCAGCATATAGCTCTAGTGAGTGCTGAGGCCCGATGTTACTATGAAGACCTTTTACATATGGCTAAGAGCATTTGCATCCCCTGTGCTTGAGTTTCATTTCCTCGTTCCTCCAAGAAGTTATCTGTGTTCCAAGTAACTGAGTGACAGTTAATGCAATGTGATCACTGGATGCAAATAATCCTGCAGATCTAACTCATCCAAATGCTTCCCTTCATGTATTATGAGATGGCAAGCTTTGTCTCCTAGTACATAGGCTGGAACAAGTATTAACATACTTACTGGAAACAAAAAGACAACATAGGCTTTGATTTTTACCATTAATACAAAAGACAACAATGAGAAATTGTCTAGTAAGAGATATGACATCCTTACTCAACTGTGTTGAGCAGTAATACAGATTCTTTGAATTCAGAGAGTAAGAAAAAAAACACAGGAAAAGTAGTAAAAGAAACCACTGGTTTTTTGCTTCTAAGTTCAGGTTAGGTCACACAGATTATTATTTGAGGACTTTTCTCTAGTCCTCAAATCCTGTAGATTCAAGGACTCGAGTCTTGTGTTCATAAGCACATCCCAAAGCCAAAAATATTTGGTTTTCACTTTGACTGGGACTTTGTGTTTGTTGTAAAGCAGCTTCATTTGTGAGGTAGAATTTAGTAATAGTTATGTATATTTAACTTCTTAAAACATGTTTTAGCTAAAGAAAAGGAGGGAGTAAGGCAGCAAGGTAGGAAAGTCAGAGAGAAGTCCAGATTTTGAAACAGTGCCTGGATCATAGAGGAAGGGAAAGTTATGTGCAACCATGTATCTGTTTTCAACTACTTTCAGCTTTGGATTATTTGTAAGTACCTATAAGTGCATTAAGATTAATTTTACAATGTTATGGAATAATCACTGCTTTATTTAGCTGTATCATCAGGAGCAGCTGGATGAGCAGAAGGACACTGCAAAAGCGTGCACGGTTTATCTTGCTTTTCTGTTTTTAGCCTCTTTTTGAAATAGAGGAATAAATGTCAGAATTTTGAATCGGGGCTTTGTAGTGAAGACCTAAATTGCTTAACTGAGGACTTGGTGCAGAGGGAGAATGCAAAACCAGAAAATGCTGTGTAACATGTGGGTTGTTTTCTGAGTCATTTAGAAGAGTTCTCAGGAGTGAGATGTCCTGGTAGTTGCTCACTTGTGTCAGGGCCTGCCCCAAAAGTGTTGCCTAACTTAGCCCTGCTGCTTCTAACCAGCTGGGAAGCAGCCAGGTTGCTTAGTGCAATTAATAAAAGATTCAAAGGCTGCATTAGCATAGCTTAAACCTGTCATAAGCATATCATCAGCAAGGTTTAATTGAGGACTCCCAATAACCAAGATTTTTTTTTATAATTTGAGGCTGTAACAGCTCAGTTCTGTTCCCACTGAAGTCAGTTGAAGCTTCAGTAGAGAAAAGTGATGGTTCCTAAATAGTCCGAAGCTGTTGCTGAGTAAGTTATTGAGTGTCGCATGCCCCAGAGGCAGTCCCGTGCTGCTGCTGGTGGCAGCTGTGAGAGGAGCTGTTGCCCAGGAGCGCGGTGCTGTCTCTCTCGGGGCCTCTGCAGCTGGGGTACCAGCGATGCTGAGCCTCCCAGCCCGCCCGGCACTGTCTTTGGAAGCCTGAAGGATCCTCTTGCCCCCGTGGTTTATGGCTGAGCACAGCTTTGCTGCCTTCTACATTGTTAAGATGCTTTCTGTCCCTGCCATGTTAGCTGTTTCCAGGCTGTTTGCAGTGTGGATTTGGGGAGCTCGTTATGCTCCTGTCTGCTTTGAGGACTGCTGTTTAGGGGGAGTGTAGATTTGGCCCCTGTGAGAGTTGTTGTGATTTCCACTCATGGAACTCAGATTTCCAAGAGCAAGAGGGGCACAGAGCTGAAGTTTGCTGTACTTCCCATCTCTATTGGCTTGAGAAAGGAAGTGCTTCTGTTAGAGCTGTTAAATCTTGCACTGTTACTTGTTCCCTGAGTCTACAATTTTATATAGTGATTTTGCACTTTCAGTACTATTCAAAGAATATCCAGACGGGAAACAACTCTTTAAAAACAAACAAACCCCAAACACCCTCCCTTCCAACTTGCACCTTGCCAGCTCTCTTAATTCATTCCTAAATGTTAATTCCTACCCATAGAGCCTGTTCCAGCCACACCTACATTTAGGATTCTATTCCCAGTTTAGCCATTTTCACATTTTAAAATGGAGATACTTCATATTCTTACCAAAGTATAGATGAATGTGTGCATTGTCTGTATGTAATAGTTTAAATAAACGAACAAGTTATATACTTGCATATAACTTGATATATGACTATGACTAAAAAGAGATGCAAACAGGTATGTTTACTTAGCAGCAATTGCCCTATGCACTAATTGAAGACAAAATTTATGTACACTTATTAGTGATGTAAATTCCAAAGGTCAACTTAGAGTTGTTGAATAGGAAGTTACAACAGAGGAGAGTTCATATACAATAACTATCTGTGCAAGTTCTTTTTAATGCTAGATGCAGTAAGATTTGAAACTGCCCTAATATGAACCCAATGTGAAGCCAGGTACCTCTTCCTCTTCACTATGGGCAAGAGTGTAAGGGGGAGGGATGCAGTGAAGAAGCTGGTAAGCTTTGCTATAAGTGCAAAATATGTTGAAGCGTCTCACTTGAAACAGTTACAATATATTTAAAAATAATGAAGAAAGTAAGGAAAGCTTTATTAAAACTGAAAGTATCAATACTCTATTAAAAAGTAGATTTCTATGTTGAAAGTGATTTCAACTCAGAATCTGTTGGAAAGCCTTACGTTTGGGGTAATCTTCATAAAGAGGGATTGATAAATTCCAGAATTGTATGGCCTTTTCAGCTGCAGGGCCTGCCTGACATCTTTGGAAGTTTTGAGGGTGCCGTTGTGATTAATCCTTTGACCTGAATGGCACCAGAAAACTTTTTATTTCTTACCAATCTGTCTAGAAGTTGCGTTAGTTATCAGTGATCTTGATGGTCTTGCCTGTTTTGAAATTTTATTTTGTGGGTGTCTTTTAAACCTTAGAAGCCAGGAATACCATCCTTTGCTACCTTTTACACAATGTCAAAGATGTCAAGTTTATTTTCGGAGTTTTGTTTGTCTGGGATTTTTTTCCTAGCAAACTGAGGGAAGAAAAGACTACATATACATTGCTGTTATTCTGTATCAGAAAATATATATTCTAATATCCAATAATACCTGGCACACCTAGAACATTTTCTTCCTCAGTTTTTTCAGGTATCTCTTTTCCTTATTGATACATTATTATCTTCAATTTCTTGATAAATTAAACCAAAACAGAAAGTTGAGGTGGCTACCTAAGGCAACTAGCATGAGTGTTTGCATTTAGAAATTTCAACTTGGTGAGGAAATTTTCTTATTTTTTTGTGAGTGTGACTCAGATACCCACTTAATTTAATGTTGTTGACTCTTGGTCATGGTATTTTGGCTTCTCCCCAGATTCTGGACCGGATGAGGAACACTGCCTCATGCCTCGTCTAGCAGGAATCATTGAGGAGAAAGCTGCTAGCAGGTAAGCAGAGGTGCTGTGGAAGGCACTAGAGACTGATGTCTCTGTCTCACTAAGGGTTTTAATGGGCCCCAGTCAGGTCTGTTTATTCAGGTAACAGTACTTTTAAAACTATTTTTAATTTCCTCTTCAATGCCTGAAAATGAAAATAGGAATGGGGAGGGAAGGAAACACAAATATATGGAAAATTAAAGAGACAGAAATAATATAAACGTAAAATAAATATATAACAACTATAATAAAAGTATAAGAGCTCTTACTGTATTGAAAATTCTTTGGTCTAGCCGGTTAAGGAACTGAGAATAAGAGTCAGCACTAAGTTCATCACTAGAGTCTGTTTTCAATATGTTAGGTTGGTACAAATTGATGCTTATTATACCCTTGTAATTTGCACTAGATAAACTTCAACCTAAGACCTGCTTGGATACCTGCCAGTGCCTCAGAACTCATCTTCCTGTTTTACCTTTGCTAGTTTGGCAAGGATGCCTGGGAATGAATACGACTGGAAACGTGAATTGCTCTTTTACCTCTAGAGGGACCACCAGGATCAGTGATGAAGCCTGCTAGTAAGCTGGAAATTGGAGCTTAGCCCATTCCTTTCTCTTTACTGCTCTGCCAGAAGAAAGAGGACTCCAGGGTCCTCCAGATCAATAAAAATGACATAGTGAAGGGAGAGGAACTGCTGGAAGTGAAATTTTGACTAGCAATACACAGGCAGCCTGCTGCCTGCCAGCTCTGCGGGGCTGCACTCAAGAGCGGTCAGACATCCCCATCCTCTTCCACTTCTGCACATGGGCCCTGGTCCTCTACCCTGCTCCGAGAGGAAAGCGAAGGCAGGCACTGAACTCCTGCCAGAGGGTTATTACTGTTTATCATTTTGCTGCTGTAGTTTAACCACCCTGAACCAGTGCCCTTCTCCGGTCTGATCTCTTCTGTGCCAGCCAGGGGAGAGTGAGACCTCATAAAATTGGGGATTGCATGTTGTTTGGACATTCCTGTACAATTTTTGTCTCTATGCTTAGCAGTTGTTCTGTGAAACTTCCACTAGGATCAGTTAGAGGAGAAAACAGCATTTCCACTAAAAATGAGAAATCACTGACTGACTTCTTGTTCAGTATAAATCAAAGTCAATACAATCTCCTTGGTTCGATGTCTCCAGGCTAGTCTGAACTTGCTCTTCAGCATGACTGCACTCCTCCAAGGAAAGTTCTGCATAGTTTCCTTCTACTTGTAGCCAAATGTGTCTTCATTAAGATCTCGATTTATATACTTTTAATAAATACTCAAAGTGAAATACTTTGGCTGCATTTCCAGCTTTTTTTGATTCTTAAAATCCATAATGGTGAAGAAAATCGCTAGGTATGCAAAGCATAAAACATCCATATTAAACACTGTGTAGTTAAAAGATTAAGTCAAATGAAATGGTCAATAAACAGGGTCCTTCCTTGTCAGCTCAGAGCTCCTGGTCATGGCTGGGTGACCAAGCAATGCAAATTGTTCAGTTCTGATTGCTGACATAGCTGTATGCTACCTCAAATGACTGTTAGAGTTAAAGGTATTTGGAGAGGAAAATCTACATGTGGAAGGTGTGATACATTTATTCTTTTTGTTTGTTCTAAAAGATATTTCTGGGATTTTGATGTTACTTTTCAGCACAGCCTCTCTGCAGCAGACTGCAGAAGAGAGACGGCTGCTCCGGAGGAGTGAAGAAACCTTGTGCAGTTCACACAGAAGAACAGGTATGTTACTCAGCAGCCGGACTGGTAAGTTGATGATTTGTTAGTTTTGCAAAATATTACTTATCTGACTATGGGTAGGTCATTTAATCTCTCTGAAGTTCTGTTTACCACCATTTCTGCAATGAAATAATAATGTTTAATTTCTGCCTTGTCTGCTTAGACAGGCTTTCAGGGTATGGTTGTCTGAGGATGGTTAAACCTTGAGCTGCTATGGTCCTGCAGGCACTGCTGGGCCCTCTGGCCAGCCCTCTTTTATGTGCTTTGGCTATGCCTGAGGAGGAGAATGGAAAGAGATGAGAGAGTGACTTTCTGGCATGTTTTTATTCCCATTTCATCACTGGATGACTAAATTTGTGGAGCAACAGCCTAATGCAGCTGCCTGCAGGAGACTAATTACTAATTACCACTTGGTGGTGACAAAGTGGATGAGAAGAAACAGTCCAGCCATGAAAGCTCCCTACTAAGAGTAGGAGGCTCTCCGGTTCCTGTGTGAATAGCAAAGCCCAGCAAGGGCTCTAGTGTCTGTGGCTCTCTCCTGAGAGTGAAGGTCTTTCCTGACAGTGAAACTCAGGGGCTTTCACCAGCTTTGCTTTCAACCCTCTATCTTGGGGGGCTTTTAGACGAATAGAGACTGTGTCTCCCTGTGCTCCATCCTACCCTCCTCAGCCCTGCTCCAGTGGCAAGGGGCAAAAGAGGGGAGAGCAGAGTTACATAGGACAGAGGATCCTTGCGTTGCCCAAGGGGCTTCACATCTCCACCAGCCTGCCTGCTCTGGTTCTTCTGTTTGAACACTGTCCTGCCCAGCCTGGTGGTACCTGTTCACAGCCTGGCAGCCCTCTCTGAGCAGGGAAATGAGCCAGCAGTCTGCCTGTTCCAGGGGCATTATTTTTCAGAATGCTGCCGGTCGTTTTGCAGTGCTCTGAAAACTAAACTAATGGTTCAGTTGCCCGCTGCACAGCCACCCAGGCTGAACAGCCATTTTGTCTCCCTGTAGGACTTGGGTAATAACTAGGCAATTTTGTCTCCTTTGCCTGTTGGAGCTCTTTCTGCAGTAGTTGCCATAATCATGAAACACTTGCTTTTCCTCAAGGCATAGGCTGGAGACAGAAAATCCAGCTCACGGATTATTTGATGATGATGAGAGGAAATGAAAGCTTCATTTGTAGCTTGTTTCATAGCTCATCTTTACTGCTTTTTATAGTAGATTATTAATGTTTCCATATATATTTTCTTCAGTTTGACTTTCATCTTCAGTAATGGCTGTTTCTAGTTCACAGTTACAATTAAAGATACCCTTCCATGGCAAAATCTTCCTCAAGTGTTGCAGTGGTTTCTGTTCGTCTGCAAATCCGAGCCCCATTCCCATCTATAGTTGGTCTGCTGGCAGTTTTTCTTGCATCTCTGATGATATCTGAATCCATAAAGAGTAAAAGCTTCTGTGTGTCGCCTGCTAGTAAGAGGAGAGCCTCCTCCTTCCCATTCCTGCCTTGGCCCACTCAGAGTGAGAGCTGCCTCTGACAGATCTGGGGAACCCACCTCTCTTCTGGCAAAGTGTTTTGCAGCACTAACAAAGAATGGGAGGTTTCACAAAAGAATCTCGTGTCCCCCCCCCCCCCCCCCCCCCCAAAAAAAAAAAAAAACACCCTTTTTTGGGTCTGCCTCCAAAACTATTCTTTTGAACTGCAGTATTGGATTTTCCTGTCTTAAAGAAAAAAGATTTTCACTTAAAGGTTGTAGGCTTTTGCGTCATGTGACAGTCAGCCCTTGACCTCGTGGGTTTCTGTGGTGTACACATGTGGTAGAGAAATACCAAACTCTTGAAATTCTTTGGTAAATGTAACTTCACATCCAACTACTTCAGAACAGCTGGCACGTTTCAAACTGGACAGAACATTTTTAGTTTTCTTTATTTTGTAGAAGTTCTTTTACTCAGTGTGGACTTTTTACTCACCACCTTGCTGGCCTGCCATGCTGTTGCAGATTGGGAGTGATGCAGCTCAGCCTTTCTGCATGGCCAGGTGGGTTATAGTTACTCTCCAGTGAAACATGCCATAAGGGTATGAGGTTTATTTTCCAGGAAACCTCCAAAAATTGGTTAATTCATTCTATGAATTATTTGGCTCCCATTTGTATTTATTTTGGGCATAATTCCCAGGGGACTTTTTATTTTTGCAAGCATCTATATTTCCCCATCCTGTACTGCCACACTCATTTATAGTAACAGCTCAAGATTTTCTTGTCTGAAAACTCCATTATTCTTTCCCCACACTACCTCCCCATTTTCTAACAGTTAACTTGCAGGCAGGGTGTTGCAAGTCCTCTCTCCTAGGAGAAGACAGTGGTGATGAAGACTGGTCTTTATTGTTATTGTTGGTTTTTGTTCTGTTTTGGTGCCTTTGCATCCTGTAGATATAAAGTAACTAAAGAGTAGGAAGCAGTTACATGCCTGCTTTGAGCTGATGCTTTGCCCAAATGCTCTTTCTCTGCCCTTTTTTATGGAGATGTGAAAAGAAAGCAGAAGGGAAATTGCAGGGACAGCCTTTTATAGCAGCTTTGCTGTTCTGCCTGTGTGCTCCTTGGAGGTATCTCCAGTTTTTATTTCTCATCAGTGATATCCTATTACATAAACCAGTCTTTTACCTCTCCCACATTTGTCAGCCCCCTGGAAAACCCTACAGACAGCAAAATTGTCCAGGTTTGCCCTGTGACCCTCTCTGGGTGTTTCATTGTTTCCACAGTCTCTAACAAGGGAGCAGGTAATGCTGGCTGAGTGCAGTGCCGGTCTCTCACCCAGAAGGTTCACGGAGCTGGTGGCATTACTGCACATGTATCAAAATAGAATGGACATCAGGGTTCCCTAAATAACCTGCTTAACACTCTGGAGGACTGAGAGGTTCATTACCATGCATTGAATTTGATACCTGCATTGCTGAATATGCAATTCATCCTTTGACTTGTCTGGGTCAAGAACACTCCTATAAGCTTCTGAAGAAATATGCATTCACAAAGATGTAAATTCTTATTGCAGCTACAAAAGAACAACATATAGTCGCATTTAATAGCTTTGAAATTTTATTTGTTCTGATATTTAGTGTTATGATTTTGTAATCTACCAGGCAAATTGTCCAGACTTTCTAATATTCTTGCTACGAAACACTATATGGGGGTTAATTTTCCTGCTGGGGTTTCTTAGCTCTAAACCACTAAAATCGTTGCTCAGAAGAACTGCTTTAAATATATTGATATTCCATTGTTAGTACTTCTGTTTCTCTGCTCTGCATATACAGACATCATGAGGAGAATTAGGGGATTTTTACTCTACATTTTTTTACCCTTTCTCGTTTCTGCTCTTCACTGAATTTTTTCTGTACGAAGATATATGTACACACACACACAAACATTCAGAGCATAAGTACAGATCTGAAATCTTGAAACCTTTGTATTACATTATTGCATAGGATAGTCTTTCATAATTTATTCTTGTTCTAAGAAATTTGGCTTCCCTTCTTGGACAAGGGATGTAATGGAATTTCTGCCGGCAGGTTGTGTTGTAGCTCCTCTTTTAACCCTCCAAAGGGATTCCCTTTCAGAGGCTCTGCCTCTGAACCTGGGAGCAGTGTTTATCAGGCTGCTTTGTATTGCGCATCAGTAGCCTCAGAGCCCTTATTCTTCCTCTGCAGAAATATTACAAGATGGAACGAAATCAGCATACTTAGTTCAACTGTTGCTTGGCTTCTGCTCTGGGAAGTTAGTTACGTGTCTAGAACTTATCTGAATGTTGCCAGTCTCAAACACTTGATGTTTCAATCACTGATATACTATATTTTCGTAGCATCTTCCATTTCTTTTGCTCTTCCTGTCCATCAAACTCGGAGAAGGGAACAAGACTGATTTCTGGAGGATTTAGCTGGCAGTTTGGAAAATGCAGTCCAGACTGCTCCAGAGTAAAGGAAAAAGCGCACGCTCTGGTCGAAGTGTAATGA